ACATTGGCTGGATCCAAATCCCAGCTCTAACCCTAATTGCTATGCAACCTTAGGTCTAAGCCTCAGTTTTCTCATTTGTAAAATTGAGATCCTAATAGTACCTTCTGCACAGAGTTGTCAGGAAACTTAAATGAGATCTCGTACCTAAAGTGCTTAACACAGGGCCCAAAACTATGAATGCTCCAAGCACACCCTCTATCATTATCACGTCTACTTCCTCATTTCAGAGAAACAGTGGCCCAGGAAGGCAGAATGTCCTGCCAGTGCTGAACAGCTAGGAAAGAGCAGAGTGAGAGTTAACTTATGTTTGTTGACTCTGATTCTATGGCCTTTCTGCCTCAACATGCTGCCTTCTTCAGCATATCAGACATGAGGCTAGGGGCTCAAAAAGGCAACTTTCCCTAACCTATCTGATTAGGGAAATACACTCTATGTAGGAAATACAATACAGTCTATGTAGACAACCTAGAAGAGATTTGTGGCTGAATGCAGGTCATTCCTAGAGAGTGATGGGGATGGAATCATGGAATCACAATTCAGGCTAGGTTCGGCCACTTAATACCTGTGAGCATTCAAGCTCACTCTTTTAATATCTCTGAGCCTACTTCCTCTTCTGTGACATGGGTATAATAATGCATCATGAGAATGCCTGGCATGTTGTAGCACTCTACAAGTGAGATCCTTGTCGCCTTTGGGGCTCTAACTCCTGTATTGGAACAGGGATTATTGTCCAAGGGAAACTATCACCTCTCAGGTCCCAGAGAGAAAAGGAACAAAGGTATAATCTGGCTGCCAGAAAATTGGAAGATTTTTATCACTCTTGGGAAACCAATAGACAACATTGAGACAAGCAATCTCAGGGTCAACTCAGAGATGTACTGTTTAATCCCAACCCAGTATCACCAAGCTCTTCCAATCTCCTCCTAGTTCTTCTGGTTGCTCCTCACATAACAACGATGTGCATCATATACTAAGCAATGCAGAAAAAATATACAGATGAGGATTTTTTTTAATGCCCCACCTAGAAATAATGGTCATTAAATAAAAATCACTTTACACATGCTTCCATGGGCAAAAGATGGGTTGAATGAGCAGACAGGTAAACAGAAATACTTACATAAAATAATATGTAATTATTTTAATTACAAAATACTAAAGTTGCCTTTACAAAAATTTAACAGAAGGAAAAAACTCCAAGTGAAAATGAACTTTATGATGGACTTTGACTGTTTCTTTGGCATAAGGAAAATAATTTCTGAACATATTCCTTGAAGGTTAACAGACTATAAAATTTTAAGAAATTCAAGCTATTTTTTAAATCATGTTTCCATTTTAGAGAGTATAAATTGACTTTGGCAATGAAAAGTGAGGTCTGCAACCTCCCCTTCATTTCTTTATGTATTAGTTAGCTTTTGGGCTCATTTCATTGAGTTTATGATATCACTATTCTGTAATTCAAACACTCAGGAGGAATTTTCTTCTCTTCCTTGGGCTATGCTTTCTTCTATACTGGGCTCCATGCCTTTTGGACACGTTTTGGTTTTTCTGTTGCTTATTATATAGTTGTGCTACTTCTTTTCACTCTGCTGTTTGGGCAGTCTTTCCATTTTGCTGTGATGCAATTATAACAATATTACCTGACATAACTATATGGCACTTACTATGTGCCAGCTGCTCCTCTAAGAGCTTTCCATATATATTAACTCATTTAATCCTCACAAGATTCCTGAGGTATTATCACTATTCCCATTTTACAGGTGAGAAAGTTTCAGCACAATTAAGTAACTTGTTCAAGGAACTTAATCTCTCTCTCTTTCTTTTTTGTAGACAGTCTCGCTATGTTGCCCAGGCTGGAGTGCAGTGGCGCCATCTCGGCTCACTGCAACCTTTTCCTCCCGGGTTCAAGTGATTCTTCTGCCTCAGCCTCCCAAGTAGTTGGGACTGCAGGCACCCACACCATGCCCTGTTAATTTTTTTTTTTTTTTTTTTTTTTGTATTTTCAGTAGAGACGGGGTTTCAAGTAACCTAATCTATTAATCTGTTAGTGGTGACGCAGATATGTCTCACCGAGTCTCCTTTCTCTAATGCCTCATAAGTAGCTGAGGCAGATTAGAACTAGGGATTCTGGCTCCAATATCCATTTTCTTGACCACTTTACTTCCCACCATACCTAAGGTCAATCGGTGCTCTCAACTGAACTACGGTTTGAGGGCGCTTCTACGTATTTCTACATACCTGGCCTGAAGGTATGGGCAGTGGAGAGGGAGAATTCAGCTTAGAAGGTGTGCCAACTTGGAGGATTTACTCCACCTACCTGGAGCTGCATTCCATCTCCTTAGCTCTGGATGCAGCCTCTAGCTTAGCCTATAGCCCTCACATCCCCTGAAGAGTTCATCTCCATCTCCATCTGCTTCACCCATTTCTCCCCAGAAACCTTTCCACTTCTCCAGTCAGAAAAGGGAAAAGCTACCAACCCTTTGGTTTACTTTCCTCCTGACAGAGTATAAAAACTCTCAAAATTTAGGTGACACATAGTTATGACTTCTGGCAGATGCGGTGAGAAACCTTCCTGTGTAATACACTTCCTCTCAATTCTAGAATCTTCCATGCCTTTCCTTGTGTACTGGTTGAAGTTTGTGGCACTGCATGTGCCCCATTCCTTGTTTGATTGCTGAGGAAATATTTTACTAATTTGTATGAACTTGGTGGTGGGGAGTGGGGATTGCTCATCTATTAAGCATTAGAGAGACTGTGAGAGATATCTACTTCACCATCCTGATCCAGATATGCATACAGAGTACCCATGTATTGTTTCTTGAAGATTCCAAGTTAGCTAGACTTTGTAAATCTAATCAGGGAAACTAGATTCCTACAGGAAAGGAAGGAGAAAGACAAAACTTTAAAGAGTATTTTAAAAATGCAAGATGGTACAGAGGACATTCTGAGCTAATCAGGGGAAAAAAAGAAAAATGCTTTAAGTGTTAAGATGTGCCAGAGATATGAAGCCTTGAATGAAAAATGTCAGACTCCCTGGTTCAGATACAAGGAAGAAATCAGGAACACATTTTAAAGTTTTCTAGGCTAAGCACAGTGGTTCATGCCTGTAATCCCAATACTTTATGAGGCCACAGCAGATGGATCACTTGAGGTCAGGAGTTTGAGAACAGCCTGGCCAACATGATAAAAACCTGAATCTACCAAAATTATAAAAAAATTAGCTGGGTGTGGTGGTATGCACCTGTAATCCCAGGTACTCAGGAGGCTGAGGCAGGAGAATCGCTTGAACCCTGGAAGTGGAGGTTGCAGTCAGCAGAGATCATGCCACTGCACTCCAGCCTAGGTGACCTCTAAATAAATAAATAAATAAGTTTTCTACTTTTTAGCATAATTTTCTCTGATTCTTTTTGAATATTAGGCCTTCATACTGTTAACATCAGATTTCATTAGCTTGCTTTTCCCCATCCCCAAGCATGCTCTCACTACCAGGAAATTCCACTGTAGTGCTCCCAGCCAGATACACTGGGAATGCCTGGTCTCTTTCTGATCCATTAGCCCATGACTGATAGACACTGAGGCAGGCAGAGGACTCAGGAATTGCTGACCACAAAGGAAGCCTTGCCCCTCCACAGGGCTTATACCAAAAGGTGGAAAACTGAAGGCACAGGTGCCTCATTTGAGTCATCTCACCAACAGAGCTGAGTGCAGCTAGAAGCATTTATAGGAATTTTTCAAAATAGAACTTTTTGTGGAACTGGGAGAAAATATTTACATAACACATACCTGACAAATGCAAATTCAAACCACAATGAGATACCATCACACACCTATTATAATGGCTAAAATTTTTAAGTTAATACCAACTTCTGACATGGATGCAAAACAACTGAAATTCTTAAACACTACTGGTATAAGTGCAAAACAGTATAGCCACCTTGGAAAATAGTTGGCATTTTCTTTAAAAATTAAACATATGGCCAGGTGTGGTGGCTCACACCTATAATCTCAGCACTTTGGGAGGCCGAGGCAGGTGGATCACGAGGTCAAGAGATCAAGACCATCCCGGCCAACATGGTGGAACCCCATCTCTACTAAAAATACAAAAAAATTAGCTGGGCGTGGTGGTGTGTGCCTGTAATCCCAGCTACTCGGGAGGCTTGAAAATGGAGCAGTATTTAGAAAATAAAATTTTCCTTAGATACCATTAACATCAAAAATATTAAGTACTTAGAGAATAACATTTAACAAAATACATCAATATGAAAGGATGTCCTTTCAAATTCCCATTTGCAATGATAATAGGGGGCCTAGAGAAGGGCCTCTGGGGTCTGTTTAATGCTCAAAATCACATGCAATGTTATAGAACTAATCACAAGCAAAGCAAGACAATCCCTGGTTAGGGACATCCCACAGAAAACCCAGCCAACACTACTCAGGCTGTCAAGGTCATGAAAAATGAGGAAAGACTAAGAAACTGCCATAGACCAGTGAAGACTGGGACTTTATGTATAATTTATCACAGTTTTTAAAAATGAGGTACTGGTACATGCTAGAGCATGGATAAGACTTAAAAACATTATCAAAGTGAAAAAAGCCAAACGCAATAGACCACATTATTATATGATTCCATTCATATGAAAATGTTCTAAAATGGACTGTGGTGATTGGTGTATACACTTGTGAATATACTAAATACCTCTAAATAGTACACTTTAAATTGGTGAAATACAGGGTATGTGGATTATATGTCAATAAAACTTAACAAAAACATTAACTGGCTCAAACTAGGACCATATTTATTTGAACTCCTGAGGGCAAGTGGTGTTCCATAAATTCTGGAACCACTTTCTGGTGATGTGCTGGAAAAGTAAGAGAACAAAATTAATGAAAAGACTGCAGGTTAGAATGGCTGGCAGGAAAGATCAGGACGGTCTGTGACCAGGTATGGTGGCTCTCCAGTCACAGGGCAAGAACAAAGGCCAAGATTATAAAGCACACTAGACTAAAGCTGATCAAAAACCTTTATTCTGGTCCTCATCATTCAGTAAGCCACTTATGCAGAACATTTATTCATCTCTGCTCCAAGCAGCAGCAGCTGCATCCAGGCTTGACATGGAAGACAGAAGTAGTGGAAGACCTTGCAGAGAAAAGCTAATTGATGAGATCTCTGCTTATCCCAGCGTAGGTGACGGCAGCACAGGAAGAGTATGTTTAAGTGCAAAGACTCCGTTCTTCAAAGCTGAGGCCTGTAGAGAGGGGTGAACTGAAGGCTGAACAAAACTGATGAAGGCTCACAAAACTGTCCCACTCAGCAATCAATCCAAAGTACCTAAACATACAAAGAGCAATGAGTACAACAGGAGACCTCAGGAGCTGGGTTAGTGTAACAAACTGGGCAAACTTAATGCCCAGTCTTCTGACAAAGACAAACCAAAAATACATGACAATAACAGCATATAAATTAGGGGACAAGGAATTTGAAAACTGAGTTAATGGATTCTGAGATCTCAATTTTGTTGAGAATGAGGGGAAAGGTACTGACTAGGCTTTGATAAATTAAGGACTTACATAGTTAACTGATAGAGTAATCACTAAAAGAATAGAAATATTTAATTTCCAAGCTGATAAAAAAATCAAATAATAATCTAAAAAAAGGTCAAAAATGAAAGGAAATAATACATTATATAAAACAAGAATATAGAAAGCAGGACAAACTAAAACAATAGATTCAAATTCATAGATATGACCAATTACATTAAACATAAATGAACTATGTGCTCCAGTTAAAGACTGTCTGAATTTAGGAAAATAATCCAGTTAAATCCTGTTCACAAATACATGGAAAGATAAAAATTAAAAATTTACAAAAACACATACCATGCAAATACCAACTAAAGAAAGCTGATAAGCTTTAATATTATTAAATAAAATAGACTTTAGGCCACAAAGCACAGTTAGAAATAATAGCCAATTTACAAATATAAAAGGCTCAATCACCAATAATATGTAACAATATTAAATTTGTATAAATCTAATCACATGGTTTCATAATATATAATGACAGACCCAGAAATGTAAGAAGAAATAGTCCATAATCATAGCAGACTTTTAACACACAACTCTTCAAAATTGGTAAAATAAGCAGACAGAAGAAATTCAGTAAGAACACAGAAAATCTAAACTATACAATAATCAAATTTGGCATTGCAACCCCTCTAACAGCATCACTGAATTCCACCAATTAGTCCAAAACAAAATAATTCCAATCTTACAAAAAGTTTTCCAGAGAATAGATAAGATAAAAAGTGGGCAAGGTGCGATAGCTCACTCCTGTAATCTCAACACTTTGGGAGGCAGAGGCAGATGGATCACCAGAAGTCAGGAGTTCAAGACTAGTGTGGCCAACATGGCAAAACCCCACCTCTACTAAAAATGCAAAAATTAGCTGGGTGTGGTGGTGTGAGCCTGTAATTGCAGTTACTCAGGAGGCTGAGGCAGGAGGATCATTTGAACCCAAGATGCAGAGGTTGCAATGAGCTGAAATTGTGCCACTGCACTCCAGCCTGGGGAACAGAGTGAGACTCCGTCTCAAAAAACAAAAAACAAAAAAAAGATAAAGAGCGTATAATTGCCAATAAATTGTATGAAGTTACAGTATGAAAAAAATACTAAACTCTCTTATAAACAGAGATGCAACATGCATAATCTGTTTAAAAAATCTACATAAAACCTACAGTGAGTACAATTACTAAGAAAATACTGAAAGCTTTTCCTTGGAAGTCAAAATGCCTGTTCTTACCATTTCCATGCAACACTGTACTAGAGATTCTAGCCAGTTCAGTAGGGCAAGAAAAAAACAAATATAAAGATAAGGATTGGAAAGAATTTCACAAAATTATTTTTGGCAGATGATATACTATTAGGTAATTAACTAAATTCAAAAATCAACAGATACATCATTAAAATTAGTAAGAACTGAATTAAAACAAAATTTTTAAGTAAAAAAACTAAAAATAGGAGCTAAGCAAGATGCTAGGTACAAAATTAACATATAAAATCAATTATATTTCTAAATACTGCAATATTTAGAAAATAAAATTTTCCTTAGAAAGATACCATTAACAATAGCATGAAAAATAGTAAGTATTTAGAGAACAACATTTAACAAAATATGTCAAGATTTCTTCAGGTAAAATATTTTATTAAAAACTAAATATTAATAAATGGAAAAGTAGACTGTATTTATGAACTGAAAGGTTCACTATTTTAAAGATACCGTTTCTCCCCCAAAGTAATTTATAAATTCAATACAATCTCAATTAATATCCCTTTTTGTGGAATTTGACAGATTCTAAAATGTACATGAAAATGCAAAGACTCAAAAACAGCGAAGATACTTAGAAAAAACCAGGTGGGATGATTTTCTCTCTCAGATAAAGCTACCATAACTGAGACAGTGTAATACTGATGTGAGAATACCCATCAATGCAAAAGAGATACAAATAGATGAATGGAATAGAAGAGAAAGGCCAGAAACAGTCTTGATTGCTAAAAAAGGCAGCACGCAAAGCAGTGAGATGTTATGAACAAGTGGAAATCTAATTATGAAGAAACAGATGAGACTGGACCCCCAACCCAATATACAGAAATTCAACACCACTGTTAAGAAAGACAAAACTATAAAGATTTTAGCATATAAGAGAATGTCTTCATGACCACAGAGTAGGGAAAATTTTCTAAAATGGATACAAATAGCACTAGTTATAAAGAAAATAATTGAAACATTTGACTACCTTTATCTTTTAATGCTTATCAAAAGACAACCTTTTTAAGGTGTAAAACAGCAGGAAAAGATATTTCCCATATACTAAAAACGATTAATATCTAAAATATAGCAAGCACAGCTGGGCATGGTGGCTCATGCCTGTCTGTAATCCCAGCACTTTGGGAGGTAGTGGCAGATGGATCACTTGAGGTCAGGAGTTCCCAGTCTGGCCAACACAGTGAAACCCTGTCTCTACCAAAAAAATGCTAAAATTAGCCATGTGTGGTGGTGCATGCCTGTAGTCCCAGCTATTTGAGAATCTCTTGAACCTGGGAGAGGGAGCTGTAGTGAGCAGAGATCGAGCCACTGCACTCCAGCCTGGGTGACAAAGCAAGACTCGATCTCAAAAAAAAAAATTAAAAATAAAAATGAAATAAAATACACCAAGCATTGTTATAAATCAGTAAGAAAAAAATGAAAATACCTAACAGAAAAATAGGAGACATCCCTCAAAAAAACTGGACATGATTATGAAAAGATGTTCAATGTCACCCATGATCGGGGCAATATGAATTAACACCACAATGCGACTATCACTTACCTTCAATACCAGCCTGTCAAAAATCACACTCTGGCAATACCAAGTACGGGTAAGAATGAGGAGCAATGGGAATTACCATGCACTGCTGGTAGGAATGTGAATTGGAATACAGGAAGTTCAGCAGTACTTGCCAACGATGGTGATATGAATACCCTATATATCCTAGGTCCCAGCAGCATTATATATTTTATACATACATATACATTCACCCTAGAGAAACATGTACAAGACTATTCATGGCAAACTGTTTATAATAGGGAAAAAAAGGTCTCCCAAATATCAACATTAAAATAGTTCAACGGTGGTAGTGTTATGCAGCAAGGAACATGAACAAACGAGTTACGTGCAATCACACAGATGAATCTCGTAAATCTGTTAACTTAAAGAAAACAGTTGTGTGACAGATGCTGACCAGCAAATGCTTATGGTTTGGTTCCATTTTCAGAGAGTTCAAAAAAACAAAACTAAACCTTAGTGTTCAGGATGCATACTTATATAGTAAACTATAAAGAAAAGGAAGTAAGTAATAACCAAAAAAGTTAGGACGCAGTAATGTCGGAAAGGGGAGAAGAGGTATGATGAAGAATGAATACATGTGGGACTTCTGGGGGCCGACAATAGCCTATCTCTTGGCCTACATGGTGGTTACAAAGGTGTTCATTTTATCATTTATTGACTTTACATTTACAGCACACACTTTACATGTGTTGTATTTCATAAGACTTAGAAAAAGAATATATATATAAACATATTTGTATAAAATATCCAGATTACACAAGAAAACTAGTAACTGTTGTTTGCAAGGAAGGAACCTGAATGTGGAATTAAGGGACAGAGGGAGGGTAGAGAAAGACTGTTCACAGTCTTCATTTTCAACTTCCACAATCAACCAGAGATAAAGCATGGAAGATTTAACTGTGATAAGATATAAATGTTATTAGCTTTCACAACGTCAAAGTACCAGTATAGACAACGCAATCTGAGAGCTACATGTGAACTAAAGAGGGAAAAGGGATACGTTCACTAACAGTCATACTTTACAAACTGGGGAGTCAAGAAATACATTAAAAGTTGGACACAATCACCACCAAAGACATTCTAGTATGTTATACAAACTGCAAAGGTAAAGAAACTAAAACTATTGATACAATTACCAAAAATCAGAAAGTGAGGAGGGGATTTATGGGGTTCTACAGGTTAGCCAAATTTTCATTTATCACAGCAGGAAGTCAACACATACCATCTACAACTGACAAATCAATGGGTAAGCATATTAGTTAGAAATAAACATAACCACCAGAAAAGCTCAAAACACACAGGGTGGACAGCAGCAGCTGTACTTCATTGTAAGCCATTAGGTAACTATTTGATTTTTAAACATGAATCTATATTGCTTATAAAAAATTTAAAAAGTTTTTACTTAAACCATACACATCTAAGGACGTAGAACATTTATTTTACCAAGTACAACAAAATATAATGCAGACTGAACCCACAGGTGCTATGATGGCTAACATTCACATCTATCAATGTAGGATAGAGCAGAGGGATTCAATTACAGAGATAAATGAGGATGAAAATGCACACAGCAACCATTCAGTAAATGGCCATTTATTAAAAATCAAAGCCAAGCACTATGCTGTGAGAGGCTAGAGAGGAAAACTACATAAGATCTCCCCACTTCTATTCCTAGTCCCTCCTAGTACCCCAGAGCAGCAATGCTGTGTATTTAAAATACAAATCTGATCATATCACTCATGTCTTTGAAAAGCTGGTCATTAAACATGAAGAGGTAAAGCAGGCTCCAAACATTTTTGACTGGAGAACTTACAGAAAGTCTGTCACAAGGAGTGCCTGACTTAGGTGAGCAACTAACAAAAGTTAATTTTAAGAAAAATGAGTAGGTGGAGAGGCTGAAGAAAAATCTTCAAATTAAAAGAATGCTCAATAGTCTAGGCATGAAGCTGGCCATGGCAATGTATCTAATAAGACATTTAAAAAATATCTATCAAAATGACCAGGGGCCTAAGCTGATATGGAGATGCAGAACAAAGGAGTAAAAAACAGTGGAAAAAATCAAGAGACTTATGAAAGTAATAAGGCTTGGAGGAGGTAATGAGAACACCCTGGGAGAATGAACTGAGGGTACATGGCTTTTGCTAAGCTATTCAATCAAAATACAGTCACGTGTTGCTTAACAACAAGGATACATTCTGAGAAAGATGCATCACATCTTTAGGCGATCCCACCACTGTGTGAACACCATAGAATATACCTACACAAACCTAAACAGTATAGCCTATTACACACCTACACTACTGGGTGTACCTATTGCTCTCAGGCTACAAACTTGAACAGCATGTTACAATACTGAATACTGTAGGCAACTGTAACATGATGGTAAGTGTATTTATCTAAACATAGAAAAGATAACGTATTTAATTAGGATGTTGTGACTCACTGGGCAACAGGAATTTTTCAGCTTCATTATAACCTGATGGGGCCACCCTCATGTGCACAGTCCATAGCTGACCAAAAAGTTACTATGCAACACTTGACTATATACGTGTAGTGAAGAGTAAGCTGATCTAAGAATTAAGTAGCAGAAATAGCTCTGAGGCAAGGTAGCTCAAATGAGATATTTCAAATATTTGCTATTTTAATGACAAAACTGGCCAGGCACGGTAGCTCACGCCTGTAATCCCAGCACTTTGCGGCGGGGGGGGGGGGAATGGGGAGGGGATCACAAGGTCAGGAGTTCAAGACCAGCCTGGCCAAGACGGTGAAACCCTGTCTCTACTAAAAATACAAAAATTAGCAGGGCATGGTGGCAGGTGCCTGTAATCCCAGCTACTTAGGAGGCTGAGGCAGAGAATTGCTTGAACCTGGAGGACGGAGGTTGTAGTGAGCCAAGATTGTGCCACTGCACTCCAGCCTGAGTGACAGAGCAAGACTCTGTCTCAAAAAAAAAAAAAAGACAAAATTTAGTTAGTACACAAGTTAATCCATGATTCCTAAAAAGAAATAAATACAGACAAGTACAAGTCTTACTGCAGCAAAATAATCACTTCACACAGATTGTTGAAGAAAAAGGAACAGGCAGTGACACTTCAAATGTTGACAATTGTTTCTGATCTCTAACACGATAAGAGGGGCAAGCTTGATAGCTAGGGATGGCGACCAAGGTAGGAATCAAATTTTTGAATTCATTTAACTTCACTGGGATCTTAATATTCCCTCCTATTTCTTTATGGTTAGCAATTTTCAGGTAGAAGTTTTAATTCCCCAAGGGAGAAAAACCGAACCTCATTAAGTTTAGCAACTTACTTTTTTCTATCCTAATAGCAAGTATGGAGAAAGAATTATCCCTACAAAAACAAGAACCAGGCATCCGTTTTATAAGGTTTTCAATTTCACATCAACATGCAAAAGACAGGTAGAAATGACTGCCCACTGAGAGAGAACTCACCTTCCAAAAAAGCAAATTCATCCACAGCTTCTATTGCATTATCTGAAACATAACGTAAAGGAACACCTGACTAATTCCAGCCATGCTGACGTCAGTCCCAAAACAGCACAATCTGCAGTGAAGGGCATAAGTCTTTGGGCAAATGAGCACATTTATAAGATACGTCCCTTGATGCCTTGATATCCATATCTACACTACCAGCAACTCTTATATATATTAGCTGTCTCTCTAGAAGATTAAGAAAAGCATAGGCAAATCCATTCAATGCAGGGGGCTGGGAGGTTCCTAAATTAACCCTATATTATTTATTCACTTTGCTCTGAAAGTCATCAGAGAAGAATGTGGCAATACACGCAGGGAGCCTGAGAATACGGTCTATAAAATCTTACACAGGTCAGAGTTACCAGCCAGACAAGAGTCAGAAATCAAATCCCCAGTTGCAAGTGAAAAATAAATATCTTTTTCAGGTACAATTTGGCGGAAAGTATGAAGGGATCCAGTCAGCTTTGGCAACCCCAGACGCCTTCACACTCTGTCCCACCACCCCAAGCAGACAGACTCTATAGGCAGGGTTTCCTGGCATTGTGGCCAACAGAAACCATCATGGGGAGAGACGCTGAGACGCCTCTCAGATCAGAGTGATGTCTTCTCAATCTGTGCAAGGGGAAACCAGCCCAGCTCTCCCTTGTCTGTCCCCAGACACACAGTGTCACTCTACCCAAGTCTCTCCTCTGAAGGGTTTTCCTTTTTCCCTGCTGAGCGCAGCAGTAGGCATCTTTTGCAATGGTCTCCACAAATAGCTCCTGTATAGCAAAAAAGCAGAGTTTTAGTAATGGGTTCTAGCACACTGAGGAGGTGAGGGCTCCAGTTTGTGAGTTGGGGCAGAAAGGGAGAAGAATGGCTCAGGGGCAAGAAAATGTTCTGGAAGTTAAGATTGTCCAGGACTTAAAGGTGGATTCCACTACCCTCTTCCCAGTATTCTCCCTCATTCACTATAGACTCCTACAAGTTCTGTATGAGACCCTGGAGATACAAATTAAAGTCACTCACTATCCGGGTCCTCAACATGAGGGAGGAGTGTTAACAAAACATACAACTCGCTTAGGTTCCCGACTTCTTCCCTCCGCCTTCCGGGTCCACGCCCACATCTCAAAACCTTGCCCACGCCGCCCTAAGCCCCGCCCCCGGAATACCCTGAGGCCCCGCCCGCGCTCCCCTCCCCCACCCCGCGTGCCCTCCCGCTGCAGCCGCACCGCTGCTCGTGCCAGGATGAAGATGGCTTCCTGTCCCGCTAGCGTCACGTCAGGGTCCGCCTTCACCAAGGCCTTTACTCGCGCCAGAGGCAGCCTCGAGAGACGTGCCCCAGGCGCCGTCGTTGGGGCTGGGGGCTGCGAGGCCGCTGCCTCCCCAGCGGGTCCGTCCTCCTCTCGGGGAGTCCCGCTTCCTGAAGCCGCCGCCGCCGCCGCCGCCGCCGCCATCCCGGCCCTGAGCGTACTGCGCGCGGCCGCCGACTGCGCGCGCGCATGCGGCGCAGGCCCTTTCCCGCGCGGGCTGGAGGCCACACCCTGTGTTGGCGCGCGGCTCCTCCCCTATGCGCAGGGCCCTCCCGGGAATCCCGGTGGGCGGGGACCGGGCTCTAGCTCTTCCCGCGCGCCTGGCCACCCCTGGGCTGCTGTGGACTTTGTTGACGCTACCGGCCACCCTCTCGTCCCATTGGGCCTGAGGAGCCCAGGCACTGGCCTTGGTGCCTGTGCGGGGCTGGTAAGGGGAGAAGTCTAGACCGGGCTCTCCAGAGAGCCTCCGTCAACTCAAGAGTGTTCATCCTCGTGGGCACGTGTCCGAGGGGGGCCCGGACATTCCCTGGAGGGCCCAGCATTGGGGAAGAGGGTACCAAGAAGGCAGCAAAATCTGGACCAAATTAAAGGATAACCAGTTATAGATGCTCTTGAAGGAGGTGTAACACGTTTGTCAGGCAGAAATGAAGAAATTCAGCCCAGGCAGAGGAAACAAGAAAAAGATGTGGAGGCTGGAAGAGATGTAGTTGTGATGAGGCATCCACGTTTGTTCAAAAAGTGGTTGCATCACAGCTTTGGGTCTCAAATTTGACCTCAAGATCCCTTTACGGTCTTAAAGATTAAAGAGCCTAAGGAGCTTTTTTCTGTGGGTTATATCAATACTTACTATATTGGAATTAAAACAAAGTTTTAAAATACTGATTTAAAAATCACTAATTTATTACAAGCTAACATAGCACTTTTATGACAAGTGACTAAAAAATAAATCTGGTAAGAAAAGTCTAATGTCAGATTTCATGTGAGAACTGGACTCTCTAGCTACTTCTGTGGTTAACGTTAGCTCTTCTCAGGTAACTCTGAAAAACTGTACTGCATCTCCTTAAGAGAATGAGAATGAAAAAAGACAACCTCTTGGTAGTATTAAGAAAATAATTTTGACTTCATGGATTCCTAAAAAGGGTCTGTAGAAATTTCCCACCCTCATGAATCCCCACACTGCACTTTGAGGTCTGATAGCATAGAGGAACAGTTAATATTTACAATAGGTTTAATCTAAGTCAATCAATCATAATAATAGTGAACACTTTTGAGCATTTACTATGTGCATGATTCAAAGTGTTTTATGTTTATGTAAATCACACTTCTGTAATTTTCATAATACCCTATTGAGGTATATATCGTAACCTTACTTTACAAAATAACCTTAACCTTGTTTTTCAAACATTTGAAACAAGGCACAGAGTGGTTACTGAGTCACACACTCGACAATGTGAAGCCAAGATGAAGCTGAATTAAATGACATCTGAAATCACTCCCCTTACTCTGACTGGTGTAGGGGCAGAAAGGTGTGACACCTTTACTCATTATAAGGTTCACAGCTGACACTCATAACACACAAATAGCTGTGTGGAAATGTGATTAGAGGCCTGGAACAGTGGGTCATGCCTGTAATCCCACACTTTGGGAGGCCAAGGTGGGAGGACAGCTTGAGCCCAGGAGTTTGAGACCAGCCTGGGTAACAGATGGAGACCCCATTTCTACAAAAAAAAAAAAAAAAAAAAAAAAAAAAAAAATTAGCTGGACATGGCGATCCTATAGTCCTAGCTACTTGGGAGGCTGAGGTGGGAGGGTTGTTTGAGCCTAGGAGTTCGGGGTTACAGTGAGCAATGATTGCATCACTGCACTCCAGCCTGGGCGACAGAGACCCTGTGTCATAAAAAGAGATGTGATTGGGCCAAAAGGGAATGGTGGTGATCTAATGGTAATAGACTGAATGGGGAAACCCAGCAAGGCTGGTCTGTTCATACTCTTCTTGGCCTTTCTATGTAGCATTTTTTCTGGTATTAGGGCAGGACTCTTCTGGAGTAAGGGTCTTCAAGGCAGAAGGCAGAGAATAACCTTTCTAGGTTTTACAACTTGCTTGGAAGAAGGTGAGTTCTAGTTTCTATGACCTGCGGTGGGAAAGAGGAATTCTGGTTTCCATGACTCACTGCAAAGAGTGATGGTGTTACAGTGGGCAGCTAGTCAGACACGAACAGGGAAGGATAGAGCCCCCACACTCCACCAGGAATGTCAGGCAACCATCAGGTGATGGTCAGGCAGTGCTCACACTGCCTCTCTAAAGTAATTGGTCACAGTCAATGCCAGGGAAAGGCAGTTTCCCTATAAATAGAAAAACCCTGAAACTGATGATCAGCAGCTTCCTGATGAGATCTCAGGAATTGGGCAAGCAGGCTCACACATGCACACTAAGAGGCAAAATGGTGGAATTTAACTGGTATATGACCTTCTGGGGGCATTCCACTGAAAAAGGGAAGAAAGCCTTGGATGAGCATGCATACAACTCCAATAAATACACTGCACATGCTCCCCTCCCCAGCGCTAGCAGACCATTGGGAAGAATCAGGGTAGAAGGGATGCAAGACCCAGAAGTATGCTAACATATAAAACTCCAAGTCAAAAGGTCAAACCTTGCACTTGTCCTTCAAGTCACCCTCTTGGGCCTCTTCCCAATGTACTTTTCTTCCTTTCATTCTTGCTCTAAAGCTTAATGAATTTTCACTCCTGCTTTTAAAACTTGCCTCAGTCTCTTCTTTTGCCTTGTGCCCCTCAGTCGATGACTTTCTTCTGAAGAGACAAGAATAGAGGTTGCTGCAATTCACTGTCAGTAACTTGAATAACTTCTACTGCTTACAGCAGGAGACAGGACAGGAGAAGTTCACAAAGACCTTGCTTCTGAGACCTTTCCAGTTTTCTTCAGTTCAAAGTACTCAGTATTTTAAGGTACCATACTTTGGGGTATCATGTTCTGAGCCCCAACCCTGAGTTAGCACAGGGGCACTCTACTATAACAGAATAAGAGTCTTGCCCCAGAATTTAAATCTTCGGAAGAGGATATAAGTTGCTGAAAATTGAACCAGAGCTGCCATTAGGGCCTCAGTCCAGAGTTCCCTTCAGATTATATTTGTGGACACTCTCTCACTCGCTCATGGAAAGCTCCACACAAAATTCATAAAAGCACGGCCAGATTCTTGTGTCACATTGCACGAGAACACTTCACAAGAGCTGTAATCCAGCAATCTCAAAGTAGCTAAGTACTAAGTTGGCCTAAATTCTGAATTAACATAAGACAGTTGACAACGGTGGGAGTGTTACCCGACCCTACCACTTACCCAAAGTTAGCCTTTGGGTCAAGGGTTTCGTCACTATAATCCCTTTCGTGGTCACCAGAAAAATGTTACAAGAAAGGGGTCCTGATTAAGGACCCCAAGAGAGGGTTCTTAAATCTCACACAAGAAAGAATTCAGGGTGAGTCCATAAAGTGAAAGCGAGTTTATTAGGAAAGTAAAGGAATAAAAGAATGGCTATTCCATAGGTAGAGCAGCCTTGCCCATTTTTATGGTTATTTCTTGATTATATATTAAACAAAGGGTGGATTATTCATGCCTCCCCTTTTAAGACCATATCGGGTAACTTCCTGATATTGCCAGCATTTGTAAACTGTCATGGCACTTGTGGGAGTGTAGCAGTAGGACAACCAGAGGTCACTCTCCTGGCCATCTTGATTTTGGTGGGTTTTAGCCAGCTTCTTTACTGCAACCTGTTTTATCAGCAAGGTCTTTATGACTTGTATCTTATGTTGACCTCCTATCTCCTATCTCATCCTGTGACCAGAATTCTAAGAATGCCTTAACAATCTGGGAACGCAGCCCAGTAGGTCTCAGCCTCATTTTGCCTGGTTCCTATTCAAGATGGAATTGCTCTGGTTCATACACCTCTGACAGGAGCGGGAGGAGTTAAGATTTCGTGAAAGGGCTGAGTCAACTTGGCTTTCAGAGGATTCTCATTTCAACCCCCTTTTCTTCCCAGTTTTGTCTAATTCATATGTTCCTTGCCTTTCCTCCTTTTCTCCTTTTTCTCCCCCTTGGTGTTTTTTTGTTTTATTGGTTTTTTTTTTTTTTCCTCATCACTTGAATGTCTCCCAACTTGACCCAGTCCCATCCTTCTCTCCCTAGTCTGACTATGACTAACCAAGAGTTTATGGAGACAGGACTTCCTATGAGTGTTCAGCAGCACTAAGGTTGTTAGAAAGGGAAATCAGGTTTCACAGTTTTTTAGTTTCCATGGAAAAAAGGCAGAGGAAACAGGAAGACAGGTTGAAAAGCTCAAAAAAAGCCACACACAAAGTTTACGTTCCAGTTCAAATAGAATGAAGGCTAAAAATATCTTTAAAAGGCTATGTGATGAAAATTAGTGCAAAAAATAAAATGATGTGTGTTAAATGAAGGTCAGCCTAAAGATGTCTCTGTACATAGTTTAAGTTTGGCCTAAAGGTTTCTTCATATGTAGAGAAATGCAAGGTAACTTGATGTGAAAATGGTCACCTACTCTTACAGGAAATAGCCAGTTTCAGCCAATTACAGGCAGCCAGCTGTTCAAACCAGGTTCAAATAAGGCAAACTTCAAGCTGTAGCCAGTCCAGCTATTACTGTATCACTTCTGTTTTCTGGACATCATTTTCCTCTCGCTCTCTCTGTAGGTGTTATCCTACCATGCAGCAGGCCTAGAGTCACTCTGGACCTGTTCTGGTTGTGGGGGCTGCCTGATTCAGAATCATTCTTTGCTCAATTAAACTCTGTAAAATTTAACTTGTCTGAAGTTTTTCTTTTAACTTGTGAGGTATTTTATGTAATAAACTAGAGATTAAAGACAGCTTGCCATCCACCCTACTAGGGTACGTGTTCTCTCCAGGAGATATATATGTGGAGGAATCAGTAACACTACATTTCTGAATTATTTTTAAAACCAATCATATGTGTTGTATGTACATGTGTGTATTGTTGAAAGATAAACTCAGGCACATTAAAATTTTAAAGAGTTGATTTAAGCAGATAGTGATTCATGAATCATGTAGTGCCAAACCACAAGTGGGGTCTGCGTTCCACTGAGGTAGTGGGAAGGGAAATGTTTTATAAAGTATTTGTGGAAGCAAGACAAAGAAAATATTTTATTGATTAAAGTAGAGCAATAGCCATAAAGTTTCTAGTTAGAGGGGAGTAGGCAGTGTTACAGAATGGCTGGGTTCCAGTTAAACCCCACCATTAAGCCTGGAACTGCAGCCCTAAGAGAAAACAGCTGACCCTGTTTTTCCACCAGAATGTAGCCTTTTTGGCCTGCCCCTCCTCTGTCCTGTGCACATAAAAAGACTTTAACTGGCAGAGCAATACAAGCAGATGAGCACTGGGGATACAAGCAGCTGAGCATCAGGGATACAAATGGCTGAGCAGTAAGCAGAGAAGCAATTGAGTGTCTGAGACTATGGATAGATGCAGCTAACTTCAGACAGTGCAGCTTCAGGGAATGATCACCTTCTTGCACCATCCCTTTTCCAACTTCCCATTCTGCTGACAGCCACTTTCACTTCCCTCACCCAACAAAATTCTCGATATACACTACCTTCAATCCATTTGTGCAATCTGATTCTTCCTGGACACTGGACAAGAACCCAAATGCCAAAAGGGCAAGGACTGGGACACTCCTACAGGACCTTGCACA